TCTTTCTCCCCCACCCTCAAGTTTCCCCACCGTGACGTCCATGTCCAGTGGCCAGCCCCTCCTGTTCGCATATCCGGCCGACGGTGTGAGAGGCTATCTGACCCGCCTGGCTTCTGAGAAAGGAGAGGACAGGACCGTGCTGGCTGAGGGAGAGCCGAGGGGAGGTTCATCCGCAGTCTGCAGTGGATGGGTTCTGGTGGACAGCTGTCTTCCCTGGCGAGGGTTTCCGTCAGGAGAAAGCTTGGAGATTTCTTACTCAACAGCAGACAGCAGGCTGAGAGAGATCGCAAGAGGCACAGAGGCCCGTGGATCAGGGATCATGCCGACCTGAGGGTTGGATCTTCAGCTTTCTAATGTTTCGATAAGCAATTTTCTGACTTCACCCAATGTGGACAGCACCTGTGACTGGTCATTTTAGTCCTGATATGACGCGTGCGGAGCTAAACCTGCTGTGTGCTCCTGGGCGATTCAGACTCCTATGGTGAGGAAGGGTTACAGTGGATGAGCCCAATGCCGTTTTACACTCGGATTGTGAATGACTTTAGAGTTACCCAGCCACCCGCCTGAGACATGCCACTGCTCCACGTCCAGGTGAGAGCTGAGTCCGTCTTGTGCACAATGCTGTCTGCATCCCTTGTCTTATACTCCCGCCACCACTGAGCACTTCCTTCCGTTCTGTGTCACTGCCAGGCCCAGGGCTGTCAACATGGCGTGTCTCTGGACTCCTTCGCCCTGCTGTCAGTGTTTGATTTCTTCTGAAACATGGATGTGACCACGCCATGCCCTCACCTACGCTTGGGAACCTTCCCAGTGGCTTCTCAACCCACAAGGGTGCAATCGCACAGCGAGTGTGTCACAGGCTCGAGCACCCATGGGCGTCTGAGTGAGTTCGTTGTGCCAGCCTGGCCAATGATCACACGTGGGGCGAATTGAAAGGCGGAGGGATACATCGGTGGTGAGCCTAGCCTTTCTAGTGCTCAGGTCTCTTGCTTTGTGATGGTCGCACCAGGGTGCAGCTGACTTAGCAGTTCCCTGCTTCAGCTTGCAAGATTGACTTCCTACAAGACATCCCCAAGGAGAAGCTACATGGACCTATCCCGATGCAGCCCTGGGTGCTGGAGCAGCCGTGTGGAGACCCCTGCTAGTGCTGAGATGCTTGTTCGTTCACTGACTCAGCTTTCCTCCTGCAGTCAGCATCATTGCCTCTGTTTTGTGAGGTGGAACACTTTGTGGACTGGTGTTGGGTTAATGTTGGACTTGTGGGTTTGGGCAGCATTGGGTTGGGATATTTTCGTGATGCACACTTTCTTTAGATAAAACTCTCTTATACATGAGTTGCTATGGATTTGTTTCTCTAAAGTACCTAGACTAATACAGCAACTAATCAATATGCATCACAAGAGTCAACGGATTAATGCAAAACCCGAATGGGTGAGTGAGAGCCCTGAGTGTCCAGGTCTCTGTGCAGCTCAATCACTCCTGCACGCCATACCTCCCACTGCTCACGAGTCATTTAGACCCCAGTCACTGTCTCTGGGCAGGGAACATGGGAGCAAAGGCACCAGCCTGGGCTCTGTGCCACTTGGTGGACGTGGCGGGGCCATGCAGGTGGATGCACAGAGGAAGGGTCAGTCAGGAGTGGCCAGGGCTCCTGCAAATGAACAGGAGAATAAGGGTGTGATGCCCACCTTAAGGTGAGGGACTAGGAGAGAGGAGGACAAGCCCCCTCTTGGCACTCAATTTAACTCCAAACATGGAAAGTTAGCTGAGGGAAAATTGGGCAAGTGCTCTTAGGCCACGAGAAGGACATGTATCATTGTTTTAAGTTTGCCTTTGTTTCTCCATCGTCCTCGAAGTTGCTACACGTTCCCCTGTGTAATGTCTTTCGGCAAGATAGGTTCTCTTGCCAGGAAGGCTCTTCTCCATCAACATTCATGGAGGAGCCGGTTGGGCATCTGCTTCCAAACAGGAGAGCCGCTGCCAGTCCTCTGGATGCTGCTTGCTTTCATATCCGATTAGGAAAGCAATACACCTGAAGAGAGCATCTTGCAAACAGAAGGAGGAACACAAAGGGCCACAGCCACCTGGTGGCCACTGGAGCATGGTGGTCAGCACTGTGGTTACACACACTCTTTCGGGCAGTGGATTTTTTTCTGGGGGGCTATGATGTTCCCTGGTGGAAGTTTTGCCTGCCTGGCAGGAGACGCTGGTTCAGTTCTTGGCCGGCATACCCACGCGTAGCCACCTCTTGTCTCTGACTGTGAGCCCAGACAGGTGTTGGTGAAGCTTCCAGACTAAGAGGAGCAAAAAAGAAAGCTCTAGCCACTTGTTCCTGAGCACCAGCCAATGTCAACCCTGAAGATCACAGAGGTCTGGCATACTGTGAACGTGGGGCAAGGGCGGAAGGAGGGAGCAGCACTGGCCATGGGGTGGCCAGGGTTGGAGCTAAGGCCTTGGCAGTGAAGTACATTGTTCCTAATAGTGGGACGATCTCACCATTGTATTTTGCTGGCCTAACTTGCCCTGAGTAACTGTCAATGCCACCGCCTGGAGCATACCCTCTGGAAGGCCATTTTGCGTCCCGTCCACTGGGTGCCTTTTGCACGAGCATCTGATGGGAAGGATGTAAGACAGGGTCTGGGAGGTGCTACCTGTGGCTCTTTAGTCAATTATTGGAAGGTATCTGAGCTAAGTACTTGGGGGAATTGACTGACCTGCCAATAAGGATGCTGCGTGCAGCTGTGAAACACTGTCTGAATTAACTCATTCATGAAAGGAGCCATCCCTTGGTTGGGGGGGTTAAGGGGGGGTGGTCGCAAACTGAACCACTGAGGTCAGCAGGCAGAGGGCTCAGGCCACTGAGGGCCTTTGCAATTGACCTTCACAGTCTTCAAAGGGGGATCTGTTTATTGAAAGGACAGCCACCTTTCAGAGATGGCAGAGTTTTCCTTAAAAGTTGAACTAAAAAAAAAAAATTCCTGCTACCAGCGGTTCTAGGACATGGCTCTGTCTCTGAGGGGCATTTCCTTGTTTGCACAGAATTCCCCAAATACAATTTCACATGACTTTTTCGGACTACTCAGAGGGTGGAAAGTTGATGTCTATTATTTGGTGGTGTCAGTTTTTCCCTTGAGTTTTTCTGAACAACGACAAGATGGACAGAGAGGGGCCAGAAGCCTAACTTGCTGAGTTGAGAAGCCAGGGCACCCTGAGGCCATTCTTGGCTGGTTGGTCATGGAATCGGGGAGCTTTGGGAGCTGTCCCTCTGCTCCACTGTCTGTCAGGAATCAGCCTGGCTGATCAGCGTCCTACAGCGTTTGAGCCCCAAGCCCAGGCGTGGCCACCCTGGCCTATGCCGGCAGGCAGTGTCTGCTG